CCGTGGGCATATTTTAAATTCGCATTCCTGCCGACTGCAAATAGACAAGATGTGTGTTTGCAAAGTAAACACATTAAAGACATGCTAAAAACCCTTAAAATATTGGGGATTCGTACTCGAACAATCTAGAAATATGTACTGCACATTACTTAATGAAATTCAGCAGAGAGTAGGCAAAAGTTGTGAGTGCATTCTCCCAATGTGCATTCAAATGATTTGAAAGTGGGTGTGTTGTATGTTCTTAAATCAAACACACCAATGAAGAGCTCAATGAATTGATTGGCAATGATATTCCGGATTCTTACTTCACCAGGCTGCAAATTGACAATTTGTATTCTCATAAACTAAATGCGCCGAAAAAGCTAAGTGTATTCAAAAGCATTTTTGAAGCTCGCGTTCCAGCAAGCGGGGAATCGACGCGTTGTGCATTGGAAATCAAACACATCGGGGAAAAGCTGATCGGATTCCTGAGTGTATATTTTTAATCGCACTGCATCAAGTTGTTGTAGCGTCGCGAGACTTCCCTGAAGACGAGAGAAGACCCAGTACTCGGGTAGAATACATGTATTCGACATACAGAAGGTGTGCGGTCTACTGGCATGGCCCGAAGTCCAGCCCATCTACTGTGGTACAACGGTGAGGTTAAAAGTAGCTCTTCACCAAAGCCGAGAGCTAAGCAACCATCGTATTGCGCTGCGAATTGATAGACTGTATTCTCGTAAACCAACTTCCCACTAGCAGAGGGCAAAACAAATTTATAAGCGCATTTCAGATCTGCCTTTTAATCAGTCGTCAATCGGCGCCTTGTCCGTTTGCAAAGTAAACATGCTTATCGAAAGCAAACTGAAATCATGAGCCTAATTCAAATTCGCATTTTAACAAGCCGGATATCTTTGTGCTGTTTTTGTGCAAAGTAAGCACCCTAAAAGCTAACTAAATTTACTAGCGCATTACAAATGCGCATTCTCCGAGCTGCAAATTGCAAATTGCAAGGTGGAAATCACAGTGTCGTTTCCTCGTAAATTAAATAAAGCAAGAGGAGCTAAGTGAATTCATGGGCACTTTTGTAGAATCGCCTTCCAACCAGCAGTTAGTGGAGGGGTTTTGCCTTCGCAAGTCAAATGCACCACATGCATATTTTAATTCGCATTCGAACAAGTCGGGAGCCGATGTGCCGTGTACTCGTAAATCAAATACAGCAAAGAGAAACAAGGAAAGTCAATTTCATGTTGTCAATTCGCATTCTATCAAGCTTAACGTTGTGTGTGATGACTAAATAGTTTAAAACACCCAAAGACAATGACAAGATTTACCGGATCATCCATCTAATTGTAGCTATAATTCTACTTAATGACTGTTGTCTTTGATAAGCCCTAAAAGCAGAAAGCCGCGTTCGATGTATATTCAACCGAATGGACTCCACAGCAGTACACTCAATGATGCCATTTACGATGTAGTTCACGATCGGCATGACACTCCGAAAGCGACTATTTTTTACGCAT